CAATAAAACTAGGGTATTTTTATTCCAATTGGACTCTGGGAACCATATATTATCGATCATGAAAACAAATTTGCACTTGTCTTTTTCAGTAGGTTAAGATTTATAATTTTTATTTAATTTGTCAATTTTTTTGGACAAAACTTAGGGCTCGTTTGGAAATTTGGTTATTTTTGTTAGTTTTTAATTTTTTTTTGATTATTTTAACCTAATTTAAAAAGTTGTGTTTAGAATGATAATTGTTTTTTTATTTTTTATAGTTGATTTGATGATTGTGAGAAAAAAAATTGAAATGATTATGATTTAAATTTGACATTTTATCTTATTTACTATTTTAGTTAATTTTATTCCCCCTAATCAATTTGTATTTGCTTAGTTTGAGTTGTGTTTGTTTTAGAATGTAACTTGAATCTTGTTTTGAATCCATATTATTATAATAGATTTAGGGCTGCAAATGAATCGAGGCAAACCGAGCTTTGCTGAGCTCGAGCTCGGTTCATTTACTTATTGAGCTCGAGCTCAATTTGATAAGGAACTGGGCTCGAATTCAGCTCGGGTCGTTAATATTAATAAAACTTGAGCTCAGCTCGGCTCGGCTTGATAATTTTTTAAAAATATTATTTACATTATTTAAATAAAAAATATTATTTATATTATTTAATATATAAATAATGTATTTATACTATTATTTTTATATTTTATTTAATATATAAATAATGTATTTATTATATAATTTAAATAAAGATAAACGAGCCGAACTTATGCGAGCTCGAGCTTGACTCGTTTACTAAACAAGCCTAATATTCGAGCTCGAGCTCGAGCTCAAGCTCAGCTCATTTACTAAACGAACCAAGCCAAGCCGAGCCTTAACGAGACGGGCCAAGCTAGTTCATAGCTCGGTTCATTTGCAGCCCTAATCGTATCTCCAAAAATTTGAAATATATATATATATATATTATACAAAACAATTTAAAATAATTAAAAATTATATGGATTTGCATCTTTAAACATACTTTCACACTCCCATAATGGTAATTCTAGATCTGTTCTTGATGAAGATCTCGGTTTACATGTAAGTAGTTTTGATGACAAGTCATACTGAAAGTGTCTAAAATTATATTCAAATAAGAGTAGTGCTATTCAAACTCAAAATTAAAGAAAAAATCCTTCATAAATATATATTCCCACCCCTAAAAGTCATCAAGGACAATGGCGGTTCTATTGAGGACACAAGGACATTTGTTAGTCAAAAGTCCATTAACAGATTTCATTCCATAAATACTACCTATTTGTTGAAATTTTTAATTTTAACATATATGTTTAATTTTTTATCTATTTGTTCGATTTTTTTAATCTGTTTAAATTTTTATCTATTCATCAAAATTGTTTTAATATTTTTAATCTATCTATTTAAACTATTTAATATTTTTAATCTATCTATTAAACTTATCTGTTCAAATTTTTATTTTATCTATTGAATTCTTTGAATCTATCTATCCAAATTATTTTAACCTATCTGTTTAATTTTTTATACTATCTGTTCAAATTCTTACACACACACACACACACACACACGTATATAGAGGGTATCTGTTTGAATTTTTTTTAACTTATCTTGTTCAATTGTTTTTATCTATTCAATTGCAATTAGCATTCTATTTTATCTGTTCAATTGTGTTGGCCTAGGTTTGGGCCAACATCTTGCCATGCTGGAGGTTCGGGTTAAGGTCGAGTTACGATCGACTTGTGATGTTTGGCGTTGGACCCTGTAAAAGAATAAAGTTGTACTTTTACCATTACCTACGAGCTTTGTTGAGATGGTAAGCACTTGATCCTACAATTGGTACCAAATTGAGATCTCAAGTTTGATTTCCCTGGATGGCATGTTACTTATGGGTAGGTGTTAGAGGGAGATTGTTGGGTTGGATTGGGTTGGGTCAACATCCTACCGTGACGAAGGTTTGGGTTGAGGTTGAATCACAGTCGACTTGTGATACTTGGCTCTTTAAAAAGTCATTTGTTCTGTTCTGGTTTGTCAAATAAAACACAAATGCTAAAAAAAAGTCATTTTTCTTTCCAATGGATGGGTTTGAAAGGTGTTGTGGTTATCGAAGAGTGTCTAGGAGGTGACAGACAGGATATATAAGGGGTTAAGGTGATGGTTGGAGATGATGGTAGATGTGAGTTATAGTTTGGAAAATTAGAAAAATTCAAATTTTTGTAAAAAAGAAGGAAAGTGGGGGAGGGGGTAAGGAAGAAATTATGTTTTTCATTTGTTCTGTTCTGGTTTGTCGAACAAAACATGAATGCTAAAAAAGAGTCACTTTCATTCCAATGAATGGGTTAGAAAGGTGTTGCAGTTGTCGAACAGTATCTAGGGGTGGCAGAGAGGATACATATTGTCATGACCCGAACCCGCCCCTATGGGTTAAGGCCATAACCGGCCAATAATCGCGAGATTACCTACGGCCTCAATCCATTAAAACAAAACTCATCAGAGTAAAGGAGTCAAATGGAAGCAAAATTAAAACTTTGTCCATAGAGCTGTGCTTATATGCACACCATCACATTCTAAACATTTATGTGTTAATAACCCACATCAAAATATATATACCAACGCAGAACATTGTGCATACAGGATCATACAAGATTAAGTCAGTCGAACCTAAGACTATATACAAAGGTAGTCCAATGCTTTCGCCAACATAACAAAAACTATGAATAAGGACAAAAGCGAAGACAGTCTCGTGCGCGAGACGTTTGGGTTGACTCCTCAAAACTTCGACTGTTTCTCACAATTTCACCGGGACTGGTTTTGGACATCCCTTGGCTCACTTACATGTACATGAATGAGTGTGAGCGAATGCCCAGTGAATAATATCAAATGAGGAAGATACATAAGCAATCATTGAAACAGTTACAACAAACGGCCTTTGGTCCAATCATTTATATCTATCGGCCTTTGGCCCAAACATTTATGTCGGTCGGCCTTCGGCCTAGTCATTCATGTCAATCGGCCTTCGGCCCAATTATTCATGTCAATCGGCCTTAAGCCCAATCATTCGTATCAATCGGCCTTCGGCCCAGTCATTCATATCAATCGGCCTTCGGCCCAATCATTCATATCAATCGGCTTTCGGCCCAATCATTCATGTCAATCGGCCTTCGGCCCAATCATTCATATCAATCGGCCTTTGGCCCAATCATTCATATCAATCGTTGTCCACCATTCAGATTAATAAACTTACAAAACCTACATATAAGTAAACAATTGGACAACAGTATATTTCAAATATCTTAATAAGATATTACTCACAGTGATCGGCTTGTGGATTTGCCCTGGAGCTTGACCCTACACATTCCATAAACACAAAAAGGGTCACAAACAATTCGATCCGTTCTTAAATTCACATTTTCCTCTTTAGGCTTTATTCTTATCTGTTTAATTCAATTACAATGTTCAATGAGAGTACTTGGAAGTGAAATAGAACAGAAAACGGAACTCAGAACGCATAAACAAAATTTCAGAAAACAGGGTCCCTGCTCGAGCGTAGACTTCCCTGCCCGAGTGGACCCTTAAGGCCTACAAAAGTATTGGGAGCATCAAAATTATGCTCGAGCTTGAAGTTTAGCGCTCAAACGGAAGGCCTCTCTTCACGGCTCCCCGCTCAAGCGGACATCCATGTCTGCAAAAGTACTGGGAGCACGAATTTCCCGCTCGAGCAGCACTTTTCCCGCTCGAGCGGACATAAAAAATTCTGGGTTTTCCAGAACACATTCTTGAGCTCCAATTCGACATTCAAACCAACATTTCTCGCATTTTATGGCTCCAACCTCATATGTTCTTGTACTAACATGGTATAAACACTAAAACACATCATCATGGAGCTCAATTTCATGAATCAAACACATGCATGCCCCAAATTGACACCAAACTCAATTCCAATATACACATTCATACATCCAAAGCTCTTATCTTCATAAATTGTACATGCATGTGATGTATTGCTCCCATTTTCAACTTAGATGACACAAATGGTGATTTTACATGAGTTTTAACCAAAATCCTACATAGATCATGTAATTTAAACTCAAACATGCAATTTCAAGCAATTACATACATGCATGCACACATGGGTCTTTAATACAACAAAATCAAACTAATTCATGTTCTTGACCCTCATTCAAACTTGAATTCACAAGATGATAACTAAAAACACATGAATTACTCACCAAGGAGCTTTAATCTTCACAATCTATGGCAAATTCTTGAGTTATCTTCAAGACTTTCAAAGTTCAAGAGCAAAACTTGCACAATTCTTCTCTCTCTCTCTCTATAGCCGGCCTTCACACCCTCTCCATGCCTATCTCAGATTTTTGAGTTCAAAAAGGAGCAAAGAGAGTGTATATGGCCATATAAAAAATCCCACTAATGTTTATTTAATAATATTAAATAGTTGGGCACTAATTCCCCAATTTAATCAACTTAATTTGATCCAAATCAATTTTCAATTAAATTTCACCGTAGGCTCTAAAAATTATGCCAATCACAATGGTGTAATCAATTTCGAGTTCTGTGGCCGATAAGGCCTTCAATTTAATTTCCGAAGCGAAAAAATCAAATAGATATTCCTACGGTGAACAGATAGAAATTCAAAACCACATATTTTCACATAATAGCACACAAAATCATATTAAACACATAACCATACCTAGGTTAAGGACCAATTAACATATTACGGGACAGGGGTATCACACGTATGGAGTTGAGACAATGGTTGGAGATGATGGTGGATGTGAGTTAAGGTTTGGAAAATTAGAAAAATTTCAAATTTTTGTAAAAAGAAGAGAGGCGTAAGGAAGAAATTATGTTGTGTAAATAGAATTACCCATAGAAAAATTATTAAACTTAGTGCGTCCAGGGTAATTTGAATTGCATACAACACTATATCTCAATACACAATTGATATAATTCAGATATTAATTTTTAAACAAATATGATGTGCAATGAAATTACCCTTGTCCAACCATAAAAATGGGATGCATTTAGAAGCACCCTTACACTATATCTAGGGCCAATCATCAACCTTAACATGCTGGTTTGAGTGACTATTCTCTCAAATGATGTTACAAAGCTCCTCTAACAACAAGGGGAAGAAAGAAGAGTCGTCTTCAGGACTGTAGACAGATGGACATGGGATGCAGTTGTGCCACGAGGCACAAATATCCATATTACTTACATAATATTGTATATATATATAGTTATATTATCAGGATATTGATTGTCTACATAAATATTCTCTACTTTTAATTATTGAGAGTTCCCATGTAATTAGATTAATATTTGCTCCCTACATTTCAACATGGTCCCAACCAGATGATCCGTCTTCAAAATTGTTTTCTAATCGTTGAACCTCATTGTGAGCCAATCTGCTCATTATAGCAAGACCTGAAATAAACACACAAAAAAAAGCCAATTTTGGATTAGGAAACAAAAAAAGAAAAAGAACAGTGAAAGGACATCGCCTCCTATTGGTGGTTTCCATCTATGCTGTTGCCAAAGAAAATAAATTTACTAAAGAGCTCAGCGAGAACTAACAAGACAGTGCTAGTAATTTAGAACAGTGTCATTTTGGATTAACATCTTAACTGGCATGAGGGAAAAAATATATCTTTCCAAATTGGGTAAAATTCACTTTATCCATTGTGGTTTGATCTTGAAGCATTTTACCCCCAATGATTCAAATATAGGCAGAGAGCTCCCTCGTAGTTTTGGACCAAACTGCACTGTAAACGCTGTTAATGGAAAATGAAAAATAGACCTTTATACCCTCATCATTGTCTTTCGTCTCTTTCTTTATTAACAAAAAATAAACCATTATCACTATTGTATTCAACTGAATTACCACCATTTATTTTAATGGATAAAAAATATACATAAAATAATTTTAAAAATAAATACATATATGTCTCATAAAAACTATGCATATATACATGCAACATTAAAGTTATACATATGTATATATATCTGGTAATTGAAATATGCCTATAAATAAACCCAATAATTGAAAGAAGAAACATGGTGTGAAACGTGGCTGTGCAACCCATGGTTGTGTAAGGGACTATTATAAGTGTAAATTGTAGCTATGGCCGAAATTGTGTGTGAATTCAGGAGGAAGGAGGCGGTGATACGAGAGGTCGGGGAGAGGCAAGGACGTGGAGGAAGGAGGGGGGGGCTGCAGCGGTGGTTGGTATTAGTGTTAGGGTTAGAGTTTATAGAATTAGAATTTTTAGGGTTTGAAGGTAGATGATGAAGATGAAGGGTAAAAATGGCTTTTTGCATTTTTATTTTACTTTAGTTTAAAAAAAAATTATATCCACTTTCAAAGCAGGCAAGTGCATTACATTTTTTGTTAATTTTAACTAACTATTGGAGTTTAGTCCAAAATTATGAGGGAGTTGCCTGCTATATTTGAACCATAGGGAGTTAAAGTGCTCCAAGCTCAAACCGTAACGGGATAAAGTGAATTTTGTCCTTCCAAATTATGTGTAGAATATATCGCCACAAGGTGAACAGTTATTAAATAGTTAAGACTAATTAATCAAAGAAAATCATGCGAGTTGCAAGGTTGCCGGGGGCCTACTCAGTTTTATCTTAGTTCATTCAGTTTTATCTTAGTTCTTATACAAAATGATTCCATATTCATCCAATTTCATTACTAATAATAGTATAATAGGCAACATAGAACATAACAATTAGCCTAATCAACCTCTATTGCATGTGGCAATGAATAAAACATAATGGGCATGCAAACATTGTTGTGCAAATTCACTTAAATTTTTACTATTTGCTTCATAAAATAAAAAAAAGCACACCACGTGTAGAATTAGTGCAGATGTGTGTATGCATGTATGCATCTCAGTACCTTCAATGACTTTGTAGAGAGCTGACCACCATCTTTCACTAGGAAACTGGTATTGATCTAGCGCCTTTTCGATGACTTCATCATGTTTCCCTTGTAAAATTTCCTGAAGGGTTACAACCGCATCCTTAGTTTTCTTGACGATATTGTTCTCATCTTCCATCATTTCCAAGGAGGGTTGAAGAAGGATATTCTGTGAGGAAGCCATATAAACACCAAGTGCAAACTGCGTAGCAGCAGCCCAGTGGGAAGAGGCTACCCGTCTCCCCTGCTGCCCATTAAATATCTCTTCTCCCGAGGACTTATTCTCTCCTTCTCCTCCTCCGAGTACCAAGCTGTGTAAATACTGAGCATTTGCAGCCCCTGTACTCTGAATCATCTTCGAGAAACCACTTGCTTCATTCAACAATAGTTTCTCTGGGGCATCATATTCCATAACCTGAAAAATAGGTGTTGACAATTTCTTACTACTGACATTCATACAAAACAACTCCAACTCAAAGACTGATGAATGTTCACTGTGAGGGCACACCTGACCAGCATCAAGCACCAGAATTCGATCACTATCTATAATGGTATTAAGTCGATGAGCAATGATGAGCATTGTGCGTGATCTGAATTCTTCTCGAATAGTTCTCTGGATAAGTGAGTCAGTTTTAACATCAACAGCTGCCGTGGCTTCATCAAGAACAAGAATTTTTGATCTGCGTAACAATGCTCTCCCAAGACTCAATAGTTGCCTCTGTCCAACACTGAAATTCTCCCCAGCCTCTGAAACCTTTACAGTCAAAAAAAAAAAAATTACTTTCTTTTTTTTTGTTAATCAATTGTCATTTTCCTTCTTTTGGACAGTAAAATATATTTGATAATGGGTCAAACCTTAGACAATAATAATTTGTACACATAAATAATTCCATTTAATTTGTACACATTGACTTCACTCTAAATGCTGTAAAAATGTCATTCAAACTATTGTAATCATATTAAAGGACAATAAAATAATATAAAACTCTGTCAAACTTTGACTTCATTTCAATCACTAACAGTTTAGTCAACTTTCAGAGGAGATACGAATATCATACATGTTTCATTATCATAGAACCCTGCAGATGTAAGAAACTAATGGAACCAAAGCTTATAGGTGAGGTTTTCTGGACAAACTGGCTTCTGGAATATCATACTTGTGTGATTTATTAGAGAAATCATTTATTTATTTATTTAGTTATTTTTTTATAAATCAAAACTGGCTTTTGGCCAAAAATACTAATTTCTCGTGTTAGTGGTAGGACTAGCATAGGTTGGCAATTTCATAGCTATGTAATGTGTGCCTTAGTTAGAGTCCAAGCCACTAACACTTTGGAGAGCATAGTGGACAAGTCTTGAAGCCGTGGAAGCAAGGATGCTATGGAAGTTCTTCACCGGCATGTGAGTTGCTATGGGAGAGATTCATCGGCATGTGAATTGCTATGCACTGCTATTATTGCATAATAATACCCACTAAAAATACAAAGAAACCTAATAAACAATGATTATCCTAATAAATAGAAGTAAATGACTAAACTGCCCTCCATCATTAATACAAAAATACTACATATCTTAACAACCAGCAACTATCCAGATAGGTTGGTTGACCAAGATAGAATCAAGTCCTTAGGTTGTCAAAAATGACCCACAAGTGGGCCGGCCATCTGTAATCATGGGCCAACCCATGGTGCGATCTAGAGCACTGTTTTTAAAACCGGATTGGGCTGGCCAATTTGACCGGTCAACCCGTTGACCGGTTCAAGTTCCGGTCCGGATCTAAAACCCATTCTAACTTGAAAACCGACTTATTTTCTTAAAACCAGATAAAGCCACGGTTAAACCCATCATCCGCTCAACCTGGAGCCAGTTCAGTGAAACCGGCCAAGCCCTCATGTGTGATAACTGCAATGCAAGACAATGTAAAACTGTTTATGCTAAAAACAACAACTAGCAAAATGGAAATGCAGGACTGCGATCTAAAGTGAGCGATGCGCTCAATCTAACTTCTAATACCAACGAAAGTTGGTAATGAAAGGGGAAACACCATCGAGGTTCTTTCTTCGCCTCAATGAAGAGGACTTAATATTTCTTACGTGTGAGTGAGTGTAGTACTCATATGACATGAAAGATAAAATAAACTATTCTATTGATGAATGGAAGTATAGTAGCTTATAGGCTTGAACAAATTGAAATGAATAAGTTAAGACATTCTAAGTTAGTGAAACTAGGAAATGTAAAAGATAAAGGCGCTGGGCCAAATTGAAGTATGAAAATAATCTTTTTGTTTGGTTGGTACTAGACCGTTTGCCATGATCACTTCTTGGGTATTTATAGTTGTTGCCGATGGCAGTTTATTCGATCCAGCTTTCTCCGTCAAGGTCCCATGATTGCTTGCCACGTGTCCCATGATTCCATATCTAAAGCTGATCACTTGCTGCATTTGTGAATAGTTGATGTTGAATTCTTGCATGACATCCTGCATTCTCCCTTCCATGTCACCATTATCCCATGTTTGTAGGTCAAGTAACTATTTCCTAGGATTTAGGAGTGAGCCAAACCTGGTGGTTTGTTACATCCCATGGGAGCATTTGTATAACGGTTGAACCATCTTGGAAAAGGGGCTGCATTTGTGGATAATTGGTGTTGAATTCTTGCATGACATCCTGCATTCTCTCTTCCTTGACACCATTATCCCCATGTTCATAGGTTATGATTCTCTCTTCCATGTCACCATTATCTCCCTATGTTCCTAGGTCATATGGCTATTTCCTAAGATTTAGGAGTGAGCCAAACCTAGTGGGTTGTTACATCCCACGGGACCATTTGTATAACAGGTGAACCATCCTGGAAAAGGGTACACGTGGCCCACTTGTTGAAGCGCAATTGTGAGATACCCCAAATTAATTATAGTAATAATCAACTTTAAATATCCTATGTCAAATTAATTATTTTAATATGTAGAATATTTAAAATAATGAATAAAAATAAATAGCTAGAACGCTTTGAGGAAAGAATAAGAAGAACTTTGGAATATTTACGATCAATGAATAAACTTCAGACAAATTGGAAATAGAAATATGTTTTAATAAGATAATCCAAGAATATAAATATTTATTATTAAAGAGTTAGGGGAAGACTTAAGACTTGATTTGAGAATCATAGCATGAGCTTTAGTACTAATTGAGGAGCTTAATGATCCTAGTTTAATGTGCTTGATAAACTCATATAATAAAAATTTTACTAATCAGGATTAGTGTTAATTAAGCGTGAATAGTGAACCTTAATTGGGATTAATTAAGTTAAGTAGGATTAAGTATAAACCTCACAATTAATTAGTCCTAACCTAGATTAGTTAAACTAAATAAACAAGATTAGTGAATTAATGAACCTAGTAACTAATGATTTTCAGAGAATACCAAGATTAGGGAATGATTGTGATATCATTCCCTTTTTGTATTAATAAAGATTAATAATTACAAAGGGGTCCTAAGGCATAGAATAATTACAATTGATAATAACCCAACTAATAATAATAATATTTTAACTCTCCCCTCAACTTGGTGCGAAGATATCTCTCATGCTCAGCTTGCCTAGGATGTCATGCAATGGTTCTTCTAACTCCCTTGGTGAGGATGTCAGTGAGTTGTTCACCAGTATGCACAAATGGAGTACAAATTGTGCCACTAGTGAGTTTCTCCTTAATGAAATGACAATCAATCTCAACATGCTTTGTCCTGTCATGTTGAACCGGATTGTGAGCGATGTTGATGGCGGCCTTATTGTCACAGTATAACTACATGGAGTCCGTCTGATCATTACCAAGATCACTCAACAATAACTTGATCCATAACAGCTCACACACCCATTGTACCATAGCTCTAAACTCAGCTTCTGCACTTGACCTGGCAACCGCATTGTGTTTCTTACTCTTCCAAGTAACTAGGTTGCCTCTAACAAAGGTGCAATTCCCTAAAGTCGATCTCCTATTAGTTACTAATCCAGCCCAGTTAGCATTTGTATAGGCTTCTACACGAAGAAGATCATGCTTTGAAAAATAAAGACCCTTACTAGGAGCAAACTTCAAATACCTCAAAATTCTCATGACAACCTTGAAGTGAATCTGATGACCACACTAATAGCAACAACAATATCAGGACGGGAGTGAGATAGATAGATGAGCTTACCCACTAATCGCTGATAGCTCCCCCTATCAACGGCTGCTCCCCCTTCATCATTCCCCAGTTTCTAATTAAGTTCTAGTGGAGTGTCACAAGCCTTATAGCCAAGCATCCTCGTTTCCTTCAACAGGTCAAGCACATACTTCCTTTGTGAGATAAATATCCTATCCTTTGAGCGAGCAACTTCAATTCCCAGAAAATACTTCAAGCTCCCCAAGTCTTTGATTTCAAACTCACTCGCTAAATATTTCTTCAATAGAGGTATTTCCTCACTATCATCACCTGTAAGAACTATGTCATCCACATAAACAACGAGCGCTGTAGTCTTACCACGTGAGGAATTTTCACAAATAAAGTGTGATCTGTTTGACTCTGTTTGAAGCCATATTTAAGCATAGCCTGAGTGAATCCCTCAAACCAAGCCCTTGGAGACTGTTTGACACCATAGAATGACTTCTTAAGTTGACATACTTTACCCTCTGTCTGATGATCCTCAAAGCTAGAGGGAATGTCCATATATACCTCTTCTTCGAGGTCACATGGAGAAAGGCATTCTTTACATCAAACTGATGAAGTGGCCAATCTAGATTAGCTGCTAGAGAGAGAAGTACTCCAACTGAATTCATCTTAGCAATGGGTGCAAAAGTCTCCTAATAGTCAACGCCATATGTCTGAGTGAACCCTTTTGCCACAAGTCTAACTTTGTAACGCTCAATAGAACCATCCGCTTTGTGTTTCATAATATACACCCATTTGTATCTCACAGATCGTTTATCCTTAGGTAACTCAGTCAATTCCCAAGTGTCATTCTTCCTAAGTGCTTTCATTTCCTCAATCATGGCAAGTTTCCACTCAGAGGTAGCAAGAGCATCCTGAAAATTGTTAGGAATGCTAACAAAGGAAATATTTGACACAAAATCTCTATATGAGGATGACAAGAGAGAATAGGACACAAAATTTGAGATAGGATGTTGAGTACAAGATCTCACACCCTTTCTCTTGGCAATAGGAACATCAAGATCAATAGGAGTATCAAGATCAATGAACTCAAGTGATTCAAAGTTACCTGGACTCTCATCAAAAGCAGGAGATGGCAGTGGGTGAGCAAAAGTGGTATCTTGTATCCAGTCAACTTTCTGTCTGTTTTTATCCCTGACATAAAGTTGCCCTTGCCCTTCCCTATCCTTGGCGACATTGGGTTTTGTAGTCCCAGTAAGAGGTGGTGGGGCAAGAACAATTGGTTCCACCATAGGAATCACAAGAATCACTTCACACCAAGGCTCCCTTTAAAGGGAGGACTGTGACACCGGAGAGGACAAGAAATAGGAGACTCAAAAAAGGTGACATCCATGACACAAACCATTTACGAGAAGGAGGGTGATAACACTTATACCCCTTTTGAGTAGAAGAGTACCTAAAGAAAACACATTTGAGGGAGCGAGGGTCCAACTTACCACGAGTAATAGAGTGATTATGGACAAAACAGACATAGCCAAATATTTTTGGAGGAATTGAAAATAAGGACTTAGAACCTAGGACGACTTGAAGGGGAGCTTGTTTTTGCAAGACCTGGGTA